ACACACACACACACACACACAGAAGCATGCAGCCCCAGAAGGCTCTCAGTACCCAGTGTCTGTACTTCCTGCTTTGGGTGAGGGCTGGGGTGAGGGCATCTGATTCCCTTGTCTGGGCTTCTGGCTTCTGTTTGGCAGTGGGTGGGTGGCCAGGGGACAACTCTTTCTTTTAACCTCTGGCACTTGGCTTGTGCAGGAGGCAGCTCCTTTCCCGCCGTGGTTCTCTGACCCACTGGTGGAATACCCCTTCCAATTCCTCTGAAGGCAGAATTCTGGAAATGCAAGGAAGCCAGGTTCAAGTTTCAGCTCCGCTCCATTCCTCCCTCCCCCACCTTTCCCTCCCTGGAAGGGTTGGGGAACCTCCTATAGGTAGATATGCAGGCAGCCTGAGTGCCACCCTCTTCAAGACCCAACATGGGCTGCAAGAGAAAAGAATCCCTCCCCAGAAAAGAGATTGGGGGCAGTTGCACTTTGTGGGTGTATTGTTCGGTGCTAAACTCCCCCAGGGAACATGGCAAGGGCAGCCGCCACCCTCCTCATCACGCCAGTCGAGACAGGGGCCCAGCCCTGGTGGGACATGTGAGTCCAGGGGTCCTTACACAGAACCACGTGGCCCCAGCTTGCACTCTGGCCTGAGCTGCCCCAGCACAGAACGGTGAGACTTGCACAGAGCAAGCAACACCTAGCCAGTGAGTAGGGGTCCATGACAAGGGGTGGGAGAGCCACTTTGGGATCTGAGCACTTTGGAGCCAGAAAGGTCAAGAAAGATGAAATGGGGTCTGGCTCTGGGGCAGAACTTGAAGGGGGAGACCACAAGAGCAAAAGCCTGTTGTGTCAGTGCTGGGAGATAAAGCAGAGAGGGGCAGGGAGGGGAGGAGAGTTCGGGACACGCAGAGACCACCCACTCTGTGCCAGGGCTCTTCTTGGCATGTGCCGTGTCCTGTCATCCACATGCCAGTGTGTCAGATGAGAGTCATTAGCTCCACTTCGCAGGTGAGGAAGCTCAAGAGTTAAGGAAGCTGTGCGGCTAGTTAGGAGAGGGAGGAATCGAAGTGCTCTATTCCACCACCCACCCTGTAGAATCAAACCCTGTGTTTGGGGAAGCACCCTGACAGTGATAGTGCAGCGCAAGACAGTATGCAAGTGTGACATGCATTGCCACCATCTTTGAACCTCAGTTTCTTCCCCTTCATTCAGTCCACCCATCCTTTATTCGATAACTATCCCACTGTCCACCGTGGAGGTGCCAGGGCTAAGTGCTGGACAGACCATAGCGAGTGAGGTCCCACCTGCTCCCTGGCCTCCGGGAATGGCAGTAGCTAGCACACCCCTCACTGGGGCTTGAGTGGGCAACATGAGACAGTAGGCAGGACTGGGGTGCAGAAGGGTTGCTGGGAGGCAGCAGAGCTGCAGGAGGCCTGGTTGGAAGAGGCAAGATGGGACATTGAACTGTCCCGTGTGGCAGTCTCGAGGACCCGTCCCTGGCTCGAAGGGACGCACGGAATACACTGGGCGCCCGCACAGCTATTTGAGCCCCTGTAGTTCAGATTATTGGTTTCTGATGGTGGGTTCCCCAATGAGCCTTTAGCCTTGGCTCATCCTAGTGGAGATAACAAGAGCCCAAGAGCCCGCCCCCCCAGCCTCCAAGAGGGCTGGCCCCTCCAAAGCCGTGCCCACAGCTGAGAGCTACCCCAACACATCCTCGGGGTGCGTCAGCCCAGTCCTGGTGGCTGGGTTAGTCCTCCCACACGTACAGGGCAGGAGCTGTGGCTCCCAGCCCCTCACGCCTCCACTGGGGACATATTTTCCAGGGTCTCTGAAGCATCCCCAGTCCTCAGAACAGCTCACACGAGCTGCCAGGTGCTTCAGGGCTCAGCTGTAATGACCTCGTTCTATGCACTATGCACGTCCATCTCCACACGCAATGCCATTTCCACCACACGTCCATCTCTGTTTTAGCTGACCTGACATGCCTGACATGTCTGTCCTAATAAAATGTTGTCACATGGATCTTTGAGACAGAGAAGCCATAAATATTCTGGGATATTTAGCCTGTTAACTCTCCTTCTATCTTGAGTGGTGTAATAGGTGTAAGATAACTACCTCTAAAATTAACTATCTTCTGTGGGGAAGGTGAACTGATAAATCTTTCCTAAACGCTAAGCCAGGTGAGTGATGTTCTGGGACCTGCCTTCTCCAGAACTGACACCAACATAGGCAGGAAAGATCTTTTTTTTTTCCTTCTCTCGTCTTCCTCCCCATCACCCCCCCCCATCTCTTAGGTTTGAGGTTACAAGATCATAGTACATTCAATTTCAATGTCACAGTGACAGAATAAAGGCACTTTCTCCTAATATTGAGATTATCGGCTTGATAGGCGTGTGAGCACCTGGCCAACCCCGTGTTTACAGCAATTACGCAGGTGTAGCTGGGGCTCTTGGCTTGCTGGTCCTTGCCCTCCTCTGCCTCACAGCCTGCAGTTTGGGCTAGGGAGGGAGCTGCTTGGTTTATTTTCCTTTGGCTGGGATCTGTGGAGATGAATAGAGGGAGGGGATCTGGGGTTGAGAGATTATTGCCAAGAGCAATTTGGAGTCTCCTTCATATTAGTCAGAGATTGTGTTTTTCCTTTCCGAAGCCGCCTGCCTGGTAGTAACTTCCACAAAGGATTTTTCGTGTGTGTGTGTGCGCGTGCGTGCTTAAACACTTGTTAGTTTGTTTTGCTTTTTTAACTGGTTGGACTTCTCTTGAGTTAGCCAAAAAAAAAAAAAAAAGCTTGGGGCATGGGGCGATGAAACAGGCCCTTTATACCATATATTCTGCACGCCATTATTTAGTAAATGTGAATGCTGATAGACCCCAGGTGCCCGGATGAAGTAAGAGGAGTCATTTCTTTAAAGCAAGAGTTTCTCATCAGTGGATGACTTTTGCAACTGCAGCATAACTGCATAACTGAATTTTCTGTGCACTTTTTTGAGCCGTTGGTGAGATGCCTGCTCCCCTCAGCCACACTCCCTTTTGTCCCCCTGGGAAGGCCCCCTCCACTGGGGCTGTGCTTGGCAAGGGACCAGACAGACTGGGCCTCCTTCCATCTCACTGTCACTCGCAGCCCCTTCACCCCCTTCACCGTGCAGGAGGCAAGCTGGGGAGGAAGAAGCATCCCCTTTGGGGGTGAGCCCTTCCCTGTTGGTGACCTGGCTCTTGTTCATGTGGGGTGCAGAATAGGAAAGTTTGTGTGACGGCAGCCAGCCTCTCCTGTGTGGGCAAGGGCCCAAGGTGGGGATGCGCTTCGGCGTGAAGAAGTGAGTCCGTCCACAGAACAAATCACGCTGCACAAGGCTGAGACCCTACACTGGAAAAGCTGCCTGATAACGTATGCGCGACCTGAGTCAGCTTTTACAAATTAGCTCCAAACCAGAAGCAAATGCAAACGTGACCTCTCCACCTACATGCTATCATAGAACGAAATTAGGGCTTCAGGTACATTCTGCGTCGTCTGCACACATGTGCACACACACACCCAGGGCTTTTGTTTCTTTGGCCAGGGATTCTGGCTGACAGTTTTTGGTAAGTTGTTCTGGAGATAACAGGTTAGCCCAGGAACCTGAGAAGCTACTGGCAAAGGGCCCTGCAGAGGACACCAGGCCCCAGTTCCTGTTACCTCCCTCAAGCCTTAGGGGAACCTAGTATAGGATGGTACTATCAAGCACAAGCTAAATAAGGAGCTTTTAAAGGCATTTTTTAAATAGCAGCATATTATTGAGATATAATTCACAGAACTTGCAATTCACCCATTTAGGATGTATAATTCAATGGTTCTAATCTATTTACACAACTGTGCAACCACTACCACAATCGATTTTAGAGTAGTCTCATCACATGGAAAAGAATCCCCATGTGCATCAACAGTCACTCCCCATTCGCCCGGACTCCCCAGCCCGTCACCAGTAGTCTTTCCTGTCTCTGGGTCCATGGACTCTTACAGCATGTGCTCTGTGCCTGGCTTCTGCTGCCTCTTTTCCGGGAGGTCCTCAAGGTCC